AATCATGAATCATACACATTAATTCTGCATACAAGCAAAGGAATGGAATAAACTTGATCAACAAGCAATATTTTTCCTTCTGTAATTTAGTAACTATTAACATCCTAGTCCTAGTAATGGACATTGAGCCTTGTCATTGTCAACATTTTTTTTAGCATTTTTTCAAATATTAAGACTTTATTGCTAGAGTATAAATGTGGCTACCCTCGTTTCCATCCTTGTATCACTATCTAATGATTTGCAGTCTACATCATCCATCCTTTTAGAGTTCTGCCTTAAGAATCATTAATTAATGCTGAGATTTTTTTTGGGTTGATATCAACATTTCCTAAATATAGATCTTGGTAGGGAGTAGGGACAATCTTTTTTAAATTGAGAGAGAAATCAAGGAGTCCTTTGATGTGTAGTTGTTCTGATTTGAACTATTAAATACCCCTTTGCTTCATCTCAATGCTTCCTCCATTTGATATGTATAGTATTGAGACCAAAGGAAGAAACCGCAGACCAGATGCAAACTGCACATGAAGACGTGTCAAAGCAGGACAATGTTATCCCTTCTCCCATGCAAGTTCATGAGTGGTACACCGGGGATGGTAGGGAAGCCTCTAACGGGCAATCTTCTGTAGTGACGGACGATAATCTCGGGCTTGATATGCATCAATTTGCATCTCTATGTCCCATGGACACCACAGCTGACCATGGAAGGGTCCACCATGGAAGGGTCCCCAGCTGGGACGACTTCCCTAGAATTCGTTGACATGCACAACTCATGTAAACAGAAAAGGTGGATGGGCTTTACATTTTGTTCTGTCTTTGCTGATATATATGATATTTTTTTGTATTTGGTTCGATTGTATATTCTGTAATAAAGATAATAAAATAAGAATCTTGATGGAAACACATTATCTTTGCCTAAAATTATTATAATTTTTTTCTTTTACGATCTTAATAATGCACTCTCACATTAAGGTAATGTATTTAAAGAAATTAATTTTTTTAAGTGGCTTGAATCCGAGATCTAACCTGTAAAGCGACATTCACTTACTAATGAATCCAACTGATAGTTTTCTATTATATCCTTGCTCCAAAATGCAGCTTGAGGTACAAGAAGAAGCAGAAGCCAACAAGAACCACAGTGCAAGTACTGGGCCTGGGTGAATTAGCATATCTCCGACTCCACGGATGAGACTGGAGAGAGGATGTGGATATTAAGATTGGGCTTTACTTCGGCCCTATAAGAGAATCCGCTCTGCGGGTTGAAATTAAAAAAAAAAAAAAGAATAAAATAATCGAAACGTCACTTCCACAGTTCCACTCTCATTTCTCCTCACCTTCCTGCTCTCATTTCCTTTCACCCTTTCGCTGTTCCTGCATTCGGCGTCGGTGGGAGGGCTGGACGGCACCGGTTGAGGCTCTAGTTACAGTCCAGCCACGCCGATACAACTTTGGGGCCAAGAAATTTGGAAAGCGCTCTTTTTTCAAGACGCGTTTTTCGCCGGATCCGGCGCCGTCGCTCTTTGGATTGGCGCTCCCATGGTGGCGAACGGTGCCTCGAGGACAGATCCGGCACTTTGACGAGTAGGATCGGTCTCCTACGGCGTCGACCAGTGCCTGGAGGAAAGATCCTATCTCCTTGACGTGCTTATCACTTTAGGCTCCGATTGAATCTTCCATGATGACTACCGTTGAACTGGAAAATAGATCCGGCGTCGTGCGAAATCTGATACAAATAGAGCACCGAAGTGGCGCTATGTTTCCTACTATTACACAGCGGCCGTCATTGTTCTACTGGCCAACCGGTGTTTCTACGGGGCAGTGGCCGTACCGCCGTACCTTGGATCCGGGGCATCCGTCTTTGTGAATTTTAAAGGGAGGGCATGCACTCAGAATTCAAACCACAATGAGGTGTTTTGGAGGTTCTGGCACCTAGGTAGAGTTCATACGGAGAGGTCATTCATTAATCTTTATATTTTTCTTTTATGCTTTCAAAGAGGCAAGATTCTATCTCTTTCGCACATGTTTGGGAACTACTTTAGTTAAAAGACTATCATTCTCTATACTATGAGAAGAAATTGATGACCTCTTAGTGACTAAAGCATGAAAATGTATATTTAAAGTGTGTTTAACCATTGATATTTGTGGAATTATGGGTTTAAGTGTTATATTTTTCTACAAATAATTTCATAAATGTTTATTCTATTCATGTTGTGTAAATTTTTTATGATTGAAGATTTGATAATTAAATGGAGAGAATTAGAAGAAAAGAAGTTAAATGCAAAGAACCAGAAAGATGAGGGTCCAAGGATTAAATTTAGAAGTTTAACAACTCAAGTGGGATTTTCTCCATTTTTTATTAAGATGTAAGTTTGTGAAGTTGACGTGTTAATGAGCTGTTGGAACTGTTTTCAAGTTCCAACCCTTGGCCTATGGAAAAGGATAGACAGTAGCATGAGGAGTTCCGCACTCTGTGATTAGGATCCAATCCCTGGTTAGTTATGCACAAAATAGAAAGATGCAGGGTTTGAGATTTCAACCGTCTAACAAGATTGTGCAGAAAAGAAAAGAAAGAAAAAAAAATAAGAGAAAGAGAGCTATTGTTATGAAATGTGAAGCCTTCGGAATGGTTCATGTGATATTAATTATGTGAGAAATTCTATACTTTCCCCACTTTGTTTCAGAATATC